AAATTAAAATTAATTTACAAATAAAAATTTTTAAATATTATAATTAATTATTTTAAAAAATTATAAATAAATAAAATAATAATAAATTATGTGACCCAGACAAAATTACGTGTAAAATAAACACACCGGCAAACACATTTCTAGTTCTTACCTAATCAATTACTATTGCACCACACATTATGCTCGGACTTTATTTTTTTCAAAAATACAAAGCGTGTTTGAATCCCTACTAGTATGATTTTTCATTTTTTTTAAGACTTGAAATTGCCCCTACTCGTATGATTGGGTTGAAGGGAGAAGAAGAAAATTATTTTTTGTTTAAATAAGTGAATAAATTTAAAAAATAAAGAAAAGAAAATTTTTCTTTCTTCTATTCTTCATTTCTTTTAATAATCAAATAAAAAACATTTTTTCCTTTCCCTCCCTTTCCTCAATTCCTTTAACTCAAATATATCATACAAATAAGTCCGATTTTGTAATTAGTCAATGATAGCTTAGAATGTGACTCCTAAAACATTAAATTAAAGAGAATAATTACATGCAATCCATGTCTATAAAAGGATGTCTTAAATAGTTAAAAATTTAGAACTTTAAATTAAAATTTTTATTTTAATTCTATGTTTTATTAGAGAGGAGTAGCCCTTGTATTCCCCTATAATAAAATTTATCTTTTTTAATAAAAAAAACTCATTACCTTTGTAGTGCCTAAAATTAATTTAAAATATTTATATTAGTCAACAATATCTATTTTTTTCTAAGTGAAATATTAAAATTTTACTTCTAACTCATAATTTTTTATTGAGTCAAATTATTTTATTTTATTTTGTCAATTGTTATACCAAGTTTTGATATAATCCTAAATTTATTCTATTTTTTAGATGTATTTATCTTATAATTTTTCTTATAAATATAATTAGATAATTATTCACTAATCACCAAACATTTCAGAGTACATTATATTTTACATTAAAGATATCCAAGTTTGAGTTTAAAAGTAAGTTTACAACATTATATTTCTCTTATTTCATCAAATTTATATTAATTAACTTGATAATTTTTACAAAACAAATAAATGA